GGGGGGTTGGTGTGTGCTCACTCCGGCTGCTGCTGTCCGTCGGCCTGGTCGACGTTCGCGTCCATTGGGCTCATCTCATGGACGCCCTCCTCAATCTGCTGGATCTCCTTGGGCGGCTTGGCCGCCTCAACGTCCTCTGTTCTCGCGCAAGCACACAGAGAGGGCGAGAGAGAGAGAGAGAGAGAGGCAGAGTATGTGTGTGTGTAGACAGGGCAGGGTGGCGGGTGGTGGTGCTCACCGAACTTGACGGCCTCCTTTTGGTCCCCCTGGGGCTCTGTTGGCACCATTTCCGCTGCAGGCAGCGAGCAAACCAGCTGGACAGACACACACACATCCCCCTCCCCCCTGTATGTGTGTGTGTGTGCAGGCGATGTACGGATACGCGCGAGTCCTTGTTCGGGGTCCTTGACGGCGTCTCCGTGGCGGTAAGCGAACAGCCCAATCCGGAAGTATATCAGCGCCACCGTTATGCAGAACCCTACACACACACACACACACGGATGGCTCCACCACTTCCCGCCTGTGTTGTGTGTCCAGCCTTTGCGCACCGACGATGCCGCCCACAAGAGACCCGAACTCGAACAGCGGCGCAGGGCCCCACGCGAAGCCTGCACGCCCACACACCCCCCCACACACACCCACATTCATCCAGGCCGGCAGACAGACAGACCTACGGTGTGGTGGGTAGCGAACGTACAGTAGGATGTGACAGTACAGGCGAGGGAAGACGCGACGATGAAGCCGAGATTCTTGATGCACACGGCCCTCGGCACCTGCACTCAACCCAACCACATGATGAGAGTTTGTGTCGGCATGCGGTGCTCGTGTCTCTATGTGTGTGTCCGTCAGTCCGTCAGTCCGTCTGTGTGTGTGTGTGTACTAGGACTGAGCAGGCGATGAAGGGCACCACGACAGAGCACAGCATCACCAGCGTCTGCGTCTTGCGTGCTACCACGGGCAACACATCTTCGTCTTGGTCTGGGTTTAGCTCTGCGCATATGGGGGATACATACGGCAACACGCACACACGCACATTGGCCGACCGCCCATCCATCCATCCATAGTATGGCCTACCAGGGTCGATGCCCGTGACGGTGCTGAAGCCGAACCACACGGGCGTACCCACCGCGCCAAACACATTCGGCACACCTGCGCAATTTGTTCCCACACGCATATACAATCACTCGTGTGCGCGTGAATATGTCCGCGACTGACGGACCGTTCATAATGAGGCAGCAGACGATGGACTTGACCGGGTCGTGCCCCAGCTCCGCCAAGATGGGGGCCGCCAAGGCCGTGGGCGTGCCGAACCTGCACAAGATGGTGGATGCTCATTGCTCGTGGATGGATGGATGGATGGACAGTCGTGCGTGCGTGTGGGTGTGGATGGACACCATACCCGGAGGCGCCTTCGACGACGTAGCCGAACGCCCAGCCGATGAGCATCACCTGAGTCAGATGTTAGAGAGAGTGGTGGCTTGCGATACGATGCATGGGCCTCGGTTTGGTTTGCTGGTCGGTTACTTCAGCAATGGGATGCTGCTCGGAGAGGGACTTGAGCATCCTCACCATCCAGGTCCTGTCGCAGGTGCACGCCCACGTGTGCATCTGACACGGCAGCATGCACCCTCTCTCACGCTTGCTTACATGCATCGCGTCTCGGACATGGTCCTGCAGCCACAGACACCGACACGCCGACGCACGAGGACGGATGCGTAGATAGTGAATGTCCTCTTGGCTGGTTCTTTCCTTCATTCCTTGCCTGAAGAGCATCATGGCGCCGAAGATGATAGACACGGGCGTCATGGGCTCCAACAGGCCCTTCCTATACATCAGCCAGCAGTCCACAGAAGTGGGCACACACGCAGTGAGAAAGAGAGTGAGTGCGGGGGGCTTACACGACGGCAGCGTTGAGTATGTTAGGGCTGTCGTAGTCGACCCCCCGCATCAGCACCAGCCGAATCAGATACAACATCAGCGCAGATAAAGGCAGAGACTGCACCCAGCCACACCCACACACACACACACCCCAATTGATATCTATGGTCCAGAGAGTTCATTGCTTGCTCTCTCTTTGCTGCATGTTGACCACCCTTGACCACCACTGAGACCTCACTCACCGTGTAGCTGGCCATGCCTTTGGGCTTGAGCGTCACAACAAGGAGGAAGACGATGGGCATGAGGTAGAACATCGTCTGCACCCCCGGGTAGTCCATCATCCACTCATAGCTGTTCGCCAGCTTGTCGGACGCCATCCTGACACACACCGCTCGGCCTTTCTAAAGGCTCAGCGCCGACAAGGAAGGGCCGCCCCCAAGAGGCTAATATCGGAGGCTATATCCACGAGGCTGTCACTGAAGAGGGACAAGGCATGCGAAGCCAATGCATGAGTGCATTTCGAGGGCGTCCTGCATACCTGTTCCCGCTGCACAAAACCCTTTCTCGCTCTGGCCCCAATTTCCAGCCCCAGCGATCCGGGGCCAAAGGCTGGAAGATCTGTGAGAAGGCCACCCATCTCTCTCTGTATCGCTGCTGGTCTGTCAACGAAGCCCCCCCACAAGCCCATGATGCGACTCGCAGTTCTTTCTGTCGCATTGCTCGTGTCGAGGGTGGCGTGTCAGGATGACCTCGGCGCCAAGATCATCGGCGGTGTCATTCACGAGGGGGAACATGAGCATTATGACAAGCACCACGACAAGGACAAGCACGAGCCGCCGGAGCCCTTCTGCCCCAAAGGATACCACATGGAGGGAAAGGACTGCGTCAAGTACCACATCGTCCCGGTCAAGGTGAGTGAGTGGGTGGCCGTCCCTCTTCTCTCTGATGAGTTTGGTGTCTTTGTGACAGCCTCAATGTCCGCCTGGCTCGTACCCCGAGTACGAGGGCAAGGAGCTCACGTGCTCTGTCACCGAATACCACAAGCCGGAGTACATCTGCCCCAAGGGCTATGAGATGAAGGGGCTCACCTGTGTCAGTAAGTGATCTCACCAAACCCCGCCCCTCGCACACACATTGTCAGGGAGAAAGGCCCCGCTCATCTTGTGTATGTGTGTGTGTATTAGGTCCCGATTACCAAGATCCCGAGCCCTACTGCCTCCCTGGCTACGAGATGGTGGGCGGCGACAAGAAGGACTGGACGTGCACCAAGACCTACCACTCGGAACCGATCCCCGTATGCCCTGACGTAAGTGAGCTGTCTCAGAGAGTGCGCTGCGCGCTGGGGTGGGTGAATGAGGAATTCCTGAGCGCGCTCTATTCTGGAATGTGTGTGTGTGCAGCACTACACGCCCAAGGGAAAGGACGTAAGGGCGGAGAGACATCCATCCCATATATTATCTCTCCTTCTGTCTCTCTCTCTCTCTCTCTCTCTCCTTCTGCAGAGCTGTGTGCACACCGAGACATACCCCCCGACGCACGTCTGCCCCAAGTGAGAGCCACGCACGAAGGCGGACTGGCACTGACCATGCGCTCATGTCATGTGTGTAGGGGGTATGAGTATGAGAAGGGCAAGTGCGTGCAGTATCACTACGCCGACTACGAATACTCCTGCCCCAAAGGCACAACGCACACGCACAGACACACAGACGGCCAGACAGACGACAGACAGACAGACAGACAGACAGATGTCTCATGTTCCATTTGTGTGTGTGCAGGGTACGAGCCAGGCGACAAGGACGACTGCGTGTACCATGACACCATCCACGCCATCTACTGGTGCCCGCATGGCGGTCATCTCGAGAAGGAACACTGCATCAAGAAAACAACCGCTCCGCCACACAAAGAGTGCCCCGGTAGGGTACGCCCCCCTCCCCCCAATCTGTCCTTCATGCTGCGACACACTCCCTCCCTCCCTCCCTCCTATGCTGTCTGCCTGCATTCCCCCTCTCCCTTTTGTTGTTCGCAGCGATAGAGGAGTACGGCAAGTGCTATGACTACGACCACGCCGAGAAGGAGCTGCGGTGCCCCAAGCACATGGAATACGACGAGAAGACGGGGCTGTGCACGGTGTGCGACCACAAGGGCCATGGCGGCGAGTTCTTCACCAAGGGCGGGGAGTGCAGCTACGAGGACCCCACCTACGTCTGTCCGCCGGGGTACTACAAGAACATCGACAGCAAGACAGGGACCAAGGGAGAGGGGTGCCTCAAGAAAGTCCCGGTACATCCATTGGATTGGCCACCTCCGGGTGTGTGTGGTGTGCATACTTCTCTGTCTCTCTGTGTCTTCGTGTGTCTCTGTCTGCCCCAAAGGTCGAGTACGAGTACAGTTGCCCCAAAGGTGAGTGCGTTTCTGTGGGGTGTGGGTGCTTGGGGGAGGGGGGCGGGGGCCAGATAGGCAGGGGGACATGTCTCTCGTGTGTGCGTGTCCGTCGACATGTTTGTGTGTGTGTGTGTGTGTGTGTAGGTTATGAGGAGGTGGGCCACAAGCACCTGTTGACGTGCATCAAGCACGAGTCTTACCCCGCCGACATCAAGTGCCCCAAGCACGGCTACGAGCTCGACGGAAAGGAGTGCCACGTACGTCACACCCGCCCCACACACACAGGGAGCCATGCCATGCCATACACCATCTGTGTGTGAGTGCAGATGACCGTGCACAAGAAGATGCGCTACTACTGCCCGGAAAGCTACAAGGACAACGGGAAGGAGTGCGTCAAGGTAACTCTGCCACATCCACACACGCACACCCACACCCACAGCGGCCCTCTCGCACATATCTGTATGTGTGTGTCTGCATCCGCTCGTTCATTCATTCAGCCGGTGTACGAGTACCCCGATTACGTGTGCGACAAGGGCGAGTTGGAGAAGGGCATAATGGGCCACCTCTGCTACACATACGACTACCTTCCACCCGACTACCACTGCCCAAAGGGTGAGTGACCCTTAGCCACTCCCAGCAACACACATCAGACACACACACACACACACTCGCTCTCTCTCTGCGTGTGTGCGTGTGTGTATAGGATATGAGGAGGGTGACAAGGGGTGCTACAAGCACGGTGAGATGGACGTCAAGTACAAGTGTCCGCACCACGGCTACACCTACTACGTCAAGGACCACACATGCGTCTCGTACGACACCGTTCCACCAACCGTCGCATGCCCCAAGGGTCAGTCAGTCAGCCAGCCAATGGGAAAAAGACAGACAGACAGAGAGAGAGAGAGGGGCGTGTGTGTCCACCCAATGGATGCATCGATCGGCCGATCAGGGTACCATCTGAAGGGGGCCAAGTGTGTCCAGACCAACTACGTGCCGCCTGACTACCACTGCCCCAAGGCAAGGCAACCACACAACACACACACCTACAGACAGACAGCTCATGCTATGCTGCCTGTCCCTCCCTCCCTCTCTCTATATATATATCTGTCTGTTGTGTCTGTCTGTCTATCAGGGTTACGAGATGCACAAGGACGAGTGCAAGATGACCGAGGTGGTGCCCGTCTACGTGCCAACCGAAAAGGGCCACAAGAAGGGCTGGGAACTCTGATGACCGACCGAGCCCACCCCACAGCACGGCACACATACCCACCCACCCACCTGACCACACAATACCCACCGACCAGTTTCTAGCGAGTAATTCCGTCTGTCTGTGTGTCTATAGATATTTTCCATCTAGTACTTAAGTGAGTAAGGCCTGCCTTTTGTTTGTTTGTTTGGCTCCATTCCGTGAACGGATGGATGGATGCCGTCAGCTGACGGCGATTCCTTGCAAGCGGCTGATCTGATCAGATACTACCTATGCTCTGGGCTGCTCTGGGCTGCTCTGATCGATGTGGATTTGATGCATCTGTAGGTTCTCGTACCCCACCCCACCCCCTCTCTTTCCCTTTCTCCTTCCCTTCCCTTCCCTTCCCTTGCATGGATGGCTGGCTGGCTGCATTCGAGTTGCTCTTACATCCATATCCACATACATACACCTTTTTCGCTGCCCTCCCAAGCCAAGCCAGGCTGTTTGGGTGTTTTCCAGCTAGTGAAAGACTGAGTGAGTGACGAGAGGCAGACAATTGATGCGTACCGACCGGCACGCTGGCTTGACGAACGCAGCGAGAGCAGACAGACAGACAGACAGACAGAGATGCAGGAGAACAGCCAGTCGCCTCTCACCTCACTGCCGACCACCGAGACCGAACTAACGATGAAATGAATCAAAGGGCCGATCGGTGCGATGCACCCACATGCCGTCAACCAATCCACGAGAAACCTTCCCCAGCCAGCCACCCATGAACCGCTCAGCTAAGGACAACAGAATGGACACACACACACAGACAGACAGACAGAGAGGCATGACCCGCCGCGTCCGGCTGACCACATCGCAGACGAGTCTTCACGCCAGTCAGTCAGTCGAGGGCACGCCTGCCACATTCTGCAAAGAATTCAGCAGGACACATGAGAGGGAATGGACCGTCACCTCCGTGCTCACCATCTTCAGATCAGCTGCTCAGAAGCCGCCGGAGCCTCCCAAGTTAGCAGTGAATCCTCCATGCCATCCTGGAACGTCGTTGTCGCGGCATGCATGAGATCCCACACTTTGGTTGCGTAATGTTGACCCTCCTGTGCGCCATACAGCCCTCAGAAGGCCTCGAATGACGGCGGAAGCCGGCAGGGGAAAGCGATCGTGCGAGCTGGATCAGTGGCTGTGCTGCCCCTGTGCGTTGCTCCCTGCCAGTTTTCTGTGAGTCATGTGAAGGTCGTTGATCGCGCCCCCCGCCTTGTTGTCTATAGCCGCCTGAGTGAGACCGACCGACAGTTGGCGCGTGTGGTTGCCTGGAGGGGTCAGCGAGCACCCTCAGGGACCTCCCCTCCCTCCCTGTGTGACGCTCCGTCCGTTGTCCTACCCTGTTGATACTGATACTTGACCGTCCCTCGTGTGCGTGAGACATAGAGATCGTCGGCCTCGAGTGACGCTGCCTGGTGGAGTGAGAGGCGCCTCGGAGGCCTGAAGGGAGCTGGGGAGGCTGGCATGTGACCGAGGGGGGGCTGGTGTGCAAGATACAGCTGTTGCCGCTCGTCCACCTCTCGCCAGCCTCTTGTCGGAGCGTATTGCGACGCTCGTCGCAAGGAGGGGACCAGGGACGCCTGGAGGGTCAGTTGACACCCGCACAGATCACACAGACAGGCTGGAGTCACATCCGTGCCTCCCTCCCCCATGTGTCGATACGCATGCGTGTGTGGTGTCTGTGCAGGTGTGTGTTAGGTCTGTCTCTGGTCTCTGAAGGATGATGGAGGATCAGCAGGATCCCAACCGCCGCGTGACGGACCTGCTGGCGGCCTTCACGGGCAGCGGCAGTTTTTTCTCGAGCGTGCCTCCCCCTACCGACCCCGACGCGGCCAACAGCCCGCCGTCGCCATCGCTGTCGCCATCTCAGAAGGAGGATCAGGGGTCGTTCAACATGTCGCACTACATGCAGACCCTCCTCGAGGACACCGACAACGACGGCGACGAATGGCTGGGCAGCAAGGATGCGGAGACCGGGCTGCCGTCGTCGCCTGGTGACGGTGGTGGCGGTGGCGGTGGGGGTGGTGCCGGGCTGCTACCCATCGGGCCGAAGAGACAGGTGTGTGTGATGGGTGGTGGTGTGCTGTCTTGTGTTGAGTTGTGTTGCGTTGGGTGGGTCATTCCATTCACCCTGTGTGGTGTGTGTCGTGTGTAGGGTTCTGTTGAGGTGGATGGCAAGGCGGGTCAGGTGTCTGAGGGGTGGCGTCCCATGGGCGACTGGTTCAACGGCACCAACACCATCGGCAGACAAGACGCCGACACCCCTAGCGCAAACAAATCAACCAAACCGGTGAGTGAGCGACAAACAGCTGACTGACAGACCTGCGAGCCTTCTCTCTAACCGTCCCCTCGTACCTACGCGCAGGACACCGATTCCGACGACGCACATTCGTCGACCGAGGGATGGCGGTGGGGCGTTGGCAGTGGCAGCGGCCAGGGGGACGGATGGCTGCCGCAGACCATCGCACCCAACACCCACCCGGACCCTCCCCCCCCTCCGCCGTCACACAACAACAAGTTCAACCCCGACGTGGCCCCTTTTGTGCCGCAGGGCATGCTCAACGGCACTACCACTCCCACGCACACCCACACCTACCCCCACGCCCAGCCACCTCCCCCGCCCGGCCCCCCGCCCCCACCCCCATCGCACCCTCCACACATCAACACGAACACGGAGCAGGAGACCAACGACGACCACCGTGACGACGAGGGCGATGCGGGCATGGGCATGGATGCGTTTGAGCACTCGCAGAACGCCACCAAGGAGGATCCGCTGCTGACGATGGAGGACATCGCTGAGCAGACCCTGCGGATGACCAAGCGCAGCGAGGTGGACAAGCAGCGCTTCTGGAGGAAGGACAGCGTCTGGGACACTCACCACGCGGCTGACGAGAAGCCGCCCACCATCACCACCACAGATGAGGAGGCCGGCGGAGGCGGGGAGCGGGATGGCCCCTCCATCCTGGAGCAGAAGTTCCCCCAGCTGTTCGCCAGCAAGCGCTCCGAGGTCATCGCTCTCGGCCCGCCCTTCATTGGCCCCAAGACGGCCGACGAGGCCAACCTCATGGCGGGTCCTGCGGGCGAGGGGGACACACCCAGGATGATGGACGACACCATGGCACCCCTCTCGGCCGGACCCTCGTCGGCCGCCGGCGGGACATCCTCACCCTCGAATCGCTCGTCGCCTCCTGTGCCGGCACAGATGCCTTTCGGTCCGGCCACCGACCCCAGCTTCGTTCGGGCCGACTCGCAGCCCATTGAGATGTTCGACGGCAGCACCACACCTGACGCGGCGGGCGGGGACCAGCTGAAGGGCGGGCAGCGGGCTTTCTCGTCCCTGGCAGCCCCGTTCGTGCCGTCGTCAATGTCGATGTCGTCCATGAAGCCGCCGGAGCCGCCCCCCATCTTCCCCTCTGGCGGGACGGATGGTGGCGCGCCGTTCCTCAACCACACACACGACGGCCCGGCCCCCCCGCCCCCCCACACACACGTGCCGCAGCCCAGCGCGATTTTTCCATACCAGTCGATGCCGCCGCTCATCAACGGCACTCCTGACGGGACGGGTGTGCCTGGTGGCGAGGGGCCTGGGTGGGTGGGGCCTGGGCCCGGCCACCCCAATCCCCCCGGGTCGGCCCTTGACGTGCTGCAGCAGGCCGCCATGACGTATGAGGAGAATCCCGTGGGTGTGGCCACCGGGTGGTATGGGACCACCGTGGGTGGGCCCATGGCGGGTCCGATGAGCCACAGCGAGATGGTCATGCGCATCCAGGCGCTCGAGGAGCAGCTGCACATCAATGCCGTCAAGTACGCCGACGCACAGCAGGACTGGAGCGTCAAACACAAGCAGAACAAACTGCAGTACGAGAAGCAGCTCGATAAGGTGCGTGTGTGAAAGAGAGATATATCTCATACACAGACAGACAGACGAGAGCCACCCTCTCCGGATGTGTGTGTGTGTGTGTCTCGATGGTCCAGGTGAAGCGCGAGAAGACCGAGTTGCAGACCAAGTGCAACGCCCTTTTCCAGCGGCTCCAGAACCAGGCCGCCGCCGTGGGGGCGACCATCCCGCCCGCCAACCCTCCCTCCCTCCCAGACACCTCCCCGGCAGCCACGCCCCACTCCAACCCCCAACTCACTCTCGACGGGTTCATCCCGCCCCCGCCCCCTCCGCCCCCGCCGCCCGAGGCAGAGCAGATCCAGCCACAGCCCAACATCCTGCAGGAGCTCATGGACTCCCGCGAGCGCATCCGCGAGCTGGAAATGTACATTCGCAACTCCCGCGCGGGGCGGTCTGAGACAACCGACATGATTTTGCGGCGTCGCGAGACGTCCATGCAGACGGAGGGGTGTGGGGAGGGATACAACATGGCGGTGCAGACCGACGGGGGCGCCGGAGTGGATGGGGAGGGGGAGGGGGAGGGGGAGCGGGAGAGAGAGGAGGAGGCCAGGAGGAAGGTGGCTGACGGCCGGGCCTTCGCGCAGATGAGGGGCGAGAACATGGCTCTTCGGTGAGGGAGGGAGACAAGAGACGAGAACAGGCACACCCCGAGGCAGATGGATGGATGGATGCATGTGTCATGTGTGTCATGGCTGCAGCCAAATCATTGTTGAGAGTTCTAGTGAGTTCCAGGGGCTCCGCAAGCGATACGAGGACACCATCACCTCCCTCCAGCGCCGGCTCGACAAGGCCGAACGCGCCACCCGATCCGCACTCACACTCATCGACACGGCCGAGAAGGACGGCACCCTCAGCACGGTCGACCTGCCCCACAAGCTCACAGAGAGCACCGCCAGCTCGCCCAGGGGTGGGTCGTCAACCCCCCCTGCACCCGCACCACGCATCGAGTCGATCGCAGGCGAGAGCGGCCAGGGTGTGGGGGAGCTCGTGGCGTCGCTCAAGGGCGCCCTCACGAGCAAGGCCGACCCATCCCCCGCCCACAACCCCAACACGCAGGGCGGATCGCCGTCCCGCTCGCCCTTGGCCGTGATGAGCAACGGGCAGTCGACTGCCGGCCGTCTGGTCGAGGCGGCCTCGTCGATGGGGCTGGTGAGTGCACCGTTGCTGGGCAGCGGGACGGCGGCGATTCCTGCGAGCGTGGAGGCGGCGCAGCAGCAGAAGGCCACCGCCTACACCGAGACCATCGAGCAAGTGCGCAAGCAGTGTGGCGAGTGCATTGTGCAGGTGAGTGAGTGAGTGGGGGCATCACATCCATTCCATCAGGGAGACACGCACAGACAGACGCACAGAGAGAGAGACGGGACGGCGGATGGGATGGCTCTGTCTGCATGTCACTATTCATTTCACTTCGCTTGCCTTGGTCAGGTCGAGAAGGGTGTCCGCGGGACGACCCAGCGCTTGCGCAAGGCGTGGGACGATATGCACCTGGGCCCAGCCCTCCCGCCCCCCTCCCGCACAGCCACCACCACACACGGTGCCATCCCCTCACTCCCGCCCTCCACACGCCAGTCATTCGACGTCTCCAAGACCGCCACCGACGACTCGCCCGCCGTCGCCAGTGTCAATGCGCCGTCCCCGAGCGGGTCGGCCACGCATCGCGTGACGCCCAGAGCCGCCACCACCACCAACGCGACGCTGGCCAATGTGGTCACTGAGGCCATTCCCGAACACAGAGATGAGGAGGGCTCTGCGGGTGCGGGCGA